CTATTCAGATTTATTTCCTGCGCTTTATGTCCTCAAAATTGATCTTCCTCTTTGATGTATGTATATGTGACTGCGATCAAGACGGAGTGCTCCAAATTGCTAGAAACTACTACATAAGCCTCCAGCTTCATTTTTGCCTCTCAATGCGTCAAGCGCCCCCCTTGCGGAGTGATGTCATTATCTCGGCGATAAAATCACACTTCCTCTCAAACACATAGATATGAAGGAGAACTCGTTATGCGAGAGGCGGGACCAGTGTTTGTCGCAATTGAGCCCATTCGGTTTTTTATCAAGATGGTTCCCGAACAGTGCAGAGTTCTGTCGCAATGTGGCAACATTCAGGAAACTAAAATAATTGGCACATTACACTGGTGATTTCTCGTTACGAGCTAGCAAACGACCATGGGCGAATACAGCCACTGAATGGGTTTTCTGGGCAGTTCCCTGAATCATCGCCCTACCGGTCTCGATTATATCTCTTTGCTTTTTGTGAACAAAAATCGAAAAGCAACATTTATGCATTTTCACACATTACATTCGCTGAACAAAGTCTCTGAACGATCAATTAAGCAGAGCGATGTTACGTTATAGGAAGTCTGCGAAGGAGAGCGCTAATGAGGTTCACATGAAACTAGCAGTCGCCTTTTCGTTGAAGATCTGGTCGTTCTCCAACGAGTGGGAAAGCTCATTTACTCACTTTGACAACGGTCCATGGTTTTAGAGGCTCGATTGGACTCAGTGGAACTTTCTTCTCTGAGATGAATTCGTAAAGGACTGGAATTATTGCCTCCATGCAACTAATAACCCATATTCGGTGGTAAGTAATTAATAGTATCAACAATGAATTAGCATAGATCCTACATCCGTATCCGCCGTCAGACCTACGTATAAAGCGATATGTTCCAGTGAATTTTTGAAGGATACGGCGTATTCATTTAAAGAGGGAACTGATGCTAGCAGTGCTTAGAGCCAATGATGGTGGTACGAAACGTTACCGTCAGCTGAACAGCTGTACTGACCAGCAGCAGTATCCTCTAGCTTTTAGATATTCTCAGTGATATTGTCACAGATTTTACGGTGTATTTCAAATGAATTTCCAGGCATTGAAAACCCTATAGAGATCTCCAATGTTACCAATCTGTGTCATCAATGTAAACTATTTGTTACCAACTTGTCGATGAAAGGCCGCCGATGAACTCGGAATGGTTTTCATGGCACGGCAACTAGTCAGAATTGAGACAACTAACCAACGCAGCAAGGCTCTCCTCTTGCTCCCGCCGGCTTTTGCTTCCGAAGCCGAACAGAGTCAACTAAATAGCACGACGAATTTCTTAGCCACCTTCTACAGACTCAATGGCTTGATTCACAGTAACCAGTGTTATTTTATTGGGATGTAACGAGAGTACCTGATACAACGCTTTTTTTTGCGCTCTCCCTTGATACGGACTTGTGGAATCACTCAATGGTAACGAAGATACCACCTACAACCTACGAAAATTGTATTTCCGACAAGTTTCCGCCCAAAATTTGCTTTTCTTTCAATGCAGATAAGATCGAACTCAAAATAACAAAAAACTTACTAATTCGACAGACCCAATTAAGGAAAAGCGCCACCGCTGCAATAACAATTGCCGCAAGGATGATTGAACCACCAATGATTATGTGCTGCTGAAATGATCAACCCTCACATTCGAGTCAATTTCTGCTTCAAGGCTGAAATTGTTCGTGTCTCACCCTAATGGACAACTCACACACAACTAACCTCTCGGCATCTTTAATATCAAAGGTTAGAACTGAACTCACGACCTCCATTCTGAAGATTGGGCCTCCAGGAGAGCAGAGCACTTGATTATAAACATACTATTTCCTTTTCTCTCTTGCTCGGAGTAGTTTCCAAGGCAATGGCTCAAGGGGGTGAGGCTTAATCTTTCTTCAAACACTATGGGGTACCACATCACGAGCCTTGTTTGGAGAGCTTATGATATGGTGAGGACCCTTTCGTGTACCTTCCAGACAAAAACTCTCATTGTTGGAGCTTGTTAATTTATCGAGTTGTTGCATAAAACCCTCTGGTATAGGTGCTTTGAATCAGAGCAAAAATTCATCAATGAGTGAAAATAAGGGGAGTTTGCGGTGGTGGTCCGAGAAAAAACTGAGCCTCCACACCCTCATAATTGTCAGAAATGTTCGTTCTTATACCGACCGAACATTGTTTTTTTCAAGAGATAATATTTCCGATGATTATGATGAATGTTGAGGAATTCTGACCTGTAAACGCATACAGCAGAACATATTCTCCTCGCCACAGCATGCGTAGTATGTGAAGAACGTAGCTGTAAATGAAGTGCTGTAGGAACAGATGAAATTCAGGGAAATTTCAGGTCATTGGTTTCTATATACTTCAACAGATTGGAAATTCATCGCCTTAAGAGCTAGTGAAGATTAGCTTGTCTTCCTACGCGACCATCCATAACACCAGGGAATCCTACAGTGCTGCGATACTCAACAGTCTCTTCTGGGACAATGATCCTTTATTTATTGAATGTTATAATAGGGTAATGGCAATCAATAATCTATAATAATCAATATGTCTAATACATCAATGCTGCGTTTCAATTAGTCAGTCAATAATAGTCAATGCTTCAAGCTTTCAAGACTTTTCAGGGGAAGGAATGCATTGTCTTGACATTGGCCGGGTATGGGTACATACATACGTGCGTCGGGTCGCGCGCGACAAATTGCGCGGCGAATTTCGTGGCGATTTGGACGACTTCAGCGCCTATCGTTGATGCACAAATTCGAAGTAGAGAAGATCAGTAGGTTTGGCTGACCCTACTAAACGACTATACCTCAAGTTTGGGCCCCAGTAGTAGGTCCCAGAGTCGTGCGAATAGCCACGAACCCACGAACTTTGCCGCGCGCATCCTCAGACGCACGTAGGTTCCGTTCTAGCAGATGCACTTCCGCTGATTAGGAGCCAATCGCTCTCTCCATGCACACCCTGTTCTCCTTAGAGCTTTTCTTTTTAAACTTCTTCCGGTCACTAACGACAATTTGCCCCTCCTCTTTGATATCTAAGGAATGAGCTGGAAACTCCCAAGTGCAAACTTCTTCAGCCGAAACAGTCTCTTCTGAGAAATCGTTCCCACACAACTCCAATCAATTACATATATGAGACGGGTCTCGCTAACTCATCGCTATCGCTTGGCCTTTCGAGTTTCAACCATACCTTTCGGCCTCTAGACTGAGAAGAACGTCACAAGTTTTGTCGGAGAGGTTGATCTTAGCGTTCAGGCCCTCCCAGTGATTGGGTTCGTAATTGTGTGGTGCCACTTTAATGCTGTACAGTATGAGGCCTTCACTGCAAGCTCGTCTCATATTTGTGTGATCAACATTAGGCAGAAGGAACACACGAGAATCACTAGGGGTCGATATCTGAGTCTGAATATTATAAAGAAGAGAATGAATGCCAAACAGCCTAATGGCACGGTTCACAATAATTTTGGAGTATCTAGCTCTGGACGGATAATAGAACTGATGGCCCAGAATAGAGGCGGAGAAAACGCGGAAGTTGGCGTATTCAAATAGAAGACATAGACGTAGACAAATATAAGGCCAGGCCCAAGAGAAGAAGTAAAATTAGGGAATAGACGAAAATGTGACGAGAAGAGCTGCATGAGAAAGGTATCTCAAATAGCGACATTTGAATCTCAAAGAGCGTACCCTTACTGTCATCGTAAAGAGGGCATCTCGAGTTCTGCACAATGCTTTGCGCNGTAGACAAATATAAGGCCAGGCCCAAGAGAAGAAGTAAAATTAGGGAATAGACGAAAATGTGACGAGAAGAGCTGCATGAGAAAGGTATCTGGACGAGCTGTTCGAATATGTGCAGCATTGTATACAGCTGGCTGAGCTACCTAGTGCAGAAACCATTTTACGTGAATTGTTTCTTTGAAACGTTATTTTCTACCGCTGTGCACCGTCACGATGATAGGGTCTCTTCGCGTAGTGGGAGAGGCTTACGGTGGAGTTGCGCTACTGACGAGTTGCCTCGGTCAAATAGCGACATTTGAACCTCAAAGAGCGTACCCTTATTGTCATCGTAAAGAGGGCATCTCGAGTTCTGCACAATGCTTTGCGCGAAGTAAATGCTGGGTGACCACACCGGAATGCTCGGAGTCGGTATTTGAGCTTCTGTTCAAGGTCGATCAATTAGATATCGCTCTGTGGCATTTCCTGAGAAGCCATGACCTAATCATTGTGTAAACATTTAGGATGTTTCTAAAATTCTGCAGAAGATTCGGGAACCATTTTGTTAGATGTTTTTGGTTTTTTTGTAGACCATTGGCAAACGCGTCGAACATCATGACATTCTGAACGGTTCCCACCTAATTATATGTTCATACCGAACAGAAATATATTTCATGAACTTCATGGCCGAGCTAAACCTTCCTCGATGAACATCGTTTGTCTCTTTTTACTATGTCTCGTCCAAAGCCATGTCCTGCTTGGGAGTAGCGCTACTCCCCAAAGCGAGCGGCGGCAGCGGTTCTGCGACGGCTACACACCGTATCCCTTCACTGATATTCAAAACCCTTAATAGTGCGCTACTGCGCGCGATCGGGTGCGGCCAGCATGACGCGATTCCCGGGAAGAAGTTTGTTTGTTTTCATGAAAGGGTGATGTATGAAGGGAGTTCATGAATTAAAGACGTGGTGAATGTCCCATTATCGTAAATGGAATGGATGGGCTCAAGGTCTACCTGAAGGGCATTCCTCGAAATTAGTGAACTTTTGGCAAAAATTCTTATCATCGCAACCAATTAACAGAATCTCTTGAGTTTTCGACCAAAGCCCCTTTGAAGTATGGACAAAATTTCTCGACGGGCCAAAATAATAAATAGTCATGACTAGCAGAACCGGTTTCACTTGAGACACCCTTTTCTTCCGTTTCTTTGTCTTTTTGCAGCCAATGAAGGACGTGGGAATGCATTTAGCACCTCAATATTCACAGATTGGAAGGAACGTAGCCCAAATATTTCCTTGGAGCTGCCAGAAAACTCGGCACCATTGAGTGGCTTGAAGTGGATAATGACTCTTAACGGGGTGAATAACACATTCCGAACCGTTTGCTTTCACGAATAAATGGGAGCCTTTGGCTTCTAACCTGCACTTATCGAATGAAATATAGCGTCTGCTCCAGCTCAGGTGTACCCAAAGACCTGATGTCAGCAAGCCGTTTAAATGGTAAACAATTGAAATAATAAGTTCCTTACGGGCGTCGCAACTGCTGGTTGCGCTTTCTGGTCGTGGGCAGTGAACTCGTCCATCGTCCTCCTCGGTGGTATTGTTAATAGCTAGGATACTGAATGGAATCTGAAGCAACGCTATCACATATGGCAGCATTCTGAAAAGGATCAGGTTAGCCCACGTGCAACGAAATCTAATGGAAACGAGATTTATAAGAAATACAATGAGAATTTGATGAATGATGATGGATTCATGGTTGAAGACCATTATTTTGGTTTGTCGTCGGTTGACGAAGTGTTGCTTCTCGGACTTTTCTTTATGTTAGGGTCATGGCTTGAAAGAACAATTTCTCGTACAGAGTTAGTGGCAAGTCGACAGATTCAAATTTTCCTTTTTGTCCGACCGGCTTTACCGCAGTTTTAAAATAAGTAATTTGTCGTTGGTAACGATGAGTCCTAAGAGATTAGCACGCATTATGAATTCACTTGAGGTTCCTATACTTTGGGCCGAGACGGATTCTAATAAAGAAAATCCCCAGGACACATGAAGGTTTGGCACCTGAGACGTTGAGAAAGCATACAGTTCATGCTTCCGATGATCGACACAGAAGNTTGTAGCATTCCATAGGAAGGGCTCCAGTACGTTACTACTGATGACGGGAATCTGTTGACATAACGCCCAGCTGAATCCCAAGTTATCGCCTCAAAAAATAGAAAACCATATTGATCTAAATCGAAATGCCTATCGAGGAGATTATAAAAACTTGCTTTCAAGTCAGCATTCGATAAGAGCTATTCGTTGTAGTATTTCTAGGAGGATTCCAATTTATATTTCAAGTGTGCCCAGCTTGAGCTGTTCACTTCATCCTACTGTTTGAGGGTGCCGTACTTGACCAATAGGAGGGTGACTTAGTGATAAGGTAAATTTAGGTTGAGGAAAATCTGAAGTCTTACGGGATCAGTGCTCACTTGAAGTCCTCGGAATGCTAAAGCCACTCACAAATTCTTGATTCATGGAAATTGATTCAGGCTCTTCGCGTCATATTCATCAGATTGAAGAAGTAACAAAGACAAAGGGCAAAAAACAAACAATTTACAAGTAAAATTCGCTCTCAAATGTCTAATTTAACGCCAATTGCACCCTTGGGTACCTATATTGCACAGGTATCTGGTGATAATGGCGACGAAAAACTAATTTTGGCAAAAAGTAATATATAATTACGATAGACTACACGAAGGATTGTACGTGGGGAGATAGAACAGATTGTGGCTGAAATGAGCAAGCGGTCTCACATGAACTAGCCACCCATTCAGCCGCCATTCCGAATGGCAGCAGGATTGTGAAATGGGCACTGGACCAAGGTGCAACCTGGAACAAGCACTTTAGATATCTCTTACTTCCTAATGAGCGAGCGCTTGTAAGACTACTGTAGGTATTCTAGCAGAATCCATATCGATTTGAAGAATGATTTCTGCGTGGGTCAGTCGAATGCTGTATTTCACGATGTTTGTTAAAGGCAAAGTTCATGATAATTTTGTGGTACCCTTTTTTTCAAGAAGCTGAAGTAGAGGTTGGGAAGAGCTCATCGATAGCGAAGAAAGCGAGGAAATCCTCCAATTCCAAGAAAAATAAGGCTCCTCAAAAGTAGGGAAAATAGAGGTTGAACGAGATTGCCATGAGGGAAATAACATGGAAGGGGTATTTGGACGAGATTTCAGCTATTGCAACTGCGCAAAGAACTGACTACATCAAGCCAGAACTGTACAGAACTGCCATTGACTGTCGCTAGGGGTCACGACAAGTTGCTTGAGCCTTCTACATGAGTTCCCTTGTGAATGGTGCAGCCTCTGCAATGCCGATGAAACTCGTCCGAGGATACATACCCTGCAATCTCTGGGCCTTTGTAACGCTTTGACCACACCGTTTTCCGACCTGATAGCGGTAGATATGGTATGCGAGGGGGCTTCAAATTCATCCTACGAAGGAATCTCAGAAACCATTTTCATCGTGAACTGTGCCTATAATTTTGACTGATTCGGATTCAGAAAGTCAATAACAATTTGTACTTTGACCGACTTTACGTTTGTTGGAATCGAAAACTAATTCGGAAGACATATCGGTCTTAAGTTGAGCTCACGTGAGGGATCAAAGAGGTTTTGAACACCGCAACGGAGACAGTCATCCTTGCAAACAAAATTTTCAAACTAGTGACTACTGAATAATGACGGAATTTAAGTGAGAACTATCAATAAGGAAAAATGGGTAGAGGAACCTCTAACAAAAGCCATTCTGTTTCCGGAGAAAAGAAAGGTACGTCTTCCATGAAAGCACACTTTCGTTTACACTGCAAAGCACAGTACAGGAAAGGAGACTGCGGTCAGGCAGACAATTCAGCTGAAGGTAACACCACTGGGCGTTCGCAATTTTGGAACACTGATCAATGAAATCATTAGTCATGTATGGCTTGCCTCGACAATAATTCGTCGACTCTATAAACGAAAACGATTTTCTTGAGCAGATTTGGCCGATTCAACCTGATGGGAACGGAGCGAGTTCTAGCAGCATTTTTGCTTATCACATTAATAAAGCCTACAGTCTTTTTGCGTTGATGAATCCCGTTTGGGGAAGCACCCTCGCTCCATCAGACGGGATTGATTCAGCATTGTAGCGACATTCGGATGAGTGTTCGGACCATTCGAGGAACACATCGTAAATATCTGTGCAAGAGAAGAAAATAGCTGCTACGATATTGCAGTATTGGTTCGTTTCGCATCTGAATCATATGAACCAATGTAAGTCATCACCCGAGGCTCTTCAATGATCGAGCGGTGACCACATACATGATAAGTGTTGATAAAGTCAATAATAATGATAGAGATAAAGAACACTCAAAATGCAGACGATAAAGGAAAAGGCTTAGGGCGTCAGTCAATTCCGTCTGATGGATGCCCCCACGCATTCGACTTGCATTCAGAATCGTGGCGGCGTATTGGGGGGACGGTACGAACGTGCGTCCGAGGGTGCGCGCGGCAAATTGCGCGACGAAGCTCGGCACGATTCGTACGACTCTGACGCCAATTTTCGGGGCACAAACTCGAAGTAGAGTAGTTTAGTAGGGTCAGTTGATCCTCCTGATCCACTCTATTTCAAATTTGGGCCCCAANAACTCGTTCAAATCATTACGAGCTTCGCCGCGCAGTTTGCCGCGCGCATCCTCGGACGCACGTTCGTACACATACCCCGGCGTATTGAGTGCGTATGTGGCCTGTACAATGGCTTGCGGTGGTCAGCCAATATATACAAGTCAGTGTTTTTATCCTCCCAAACGAGTCTGGTACCAATTACCCGACCTCGGAGGGATGGAAGGCTTGGTTGGTATAAGCGGATATTGATCCGGGATTCGAACACGTGACCAGGCGCGCGTGAAGTGCGCTGCTTACATCCGTAAAAGACAAAATTCTGACACTATATCATGACATACAATAGCTGGCTGATGTCCAATTCAATACTTTTAACTATCAGTCACGTACCAGTTGGCCACACCCAAAGGATTGGATGGCTCAGTTGACCTGGGCATTTATTGATATTGGATTCAGTCCCCAGATGATGGGTATGGGATGCGCCAACAATCCACTTTATCCAAGCTTGTTTGTCCTGCCATATTGAAGCAGATACTGATAGGGTCAAAGAAGATGCCTCTATGTTTACAATCCTAATGAACGATTTTAGAACGCCTAGCTAAGTTCGTATTCTGCCTGACCCATATTAAAGTTTGACAGCTACATTTCCTTGTATACTTCATTGAGTTGGTCATTGCCCAGTTCCCACGTGAGATCTGGTTCCTTCCAACAGGTATGCTATCAGTTTTTCAATATTAGACATGGAATGAGTAATGAACCTGATCAGGTTCCTCCACCCGAAACGAGTTACGGTACCTCCTAGCCACTACCTTGATATCTGCATGTCTTTAGGGTTGTTTAGTTGGCGATTACGAGCCTACTGCCCTGAATAAGTAAGTCGATGACTGTAAGAAATGCATCCATTGACTGGAAGTATAAAATAAAATCCACGTCTTCTTAAAGGAACCGTCTACGATAAATTCAGGGTACCCTTTTTTGACGGGAATTCATAGAACTACTCTAGAATAAAGCGATAACAACGAAAAAAGCGCAAAAAACGATGAATAAAAAGAAATAGAAAGGGTCAAAAAAGAGCTGGTAAGGGGGGTCGGACGAGTTTCACATTGAAAGAACGGCGGTTAAGAGAGTGTTCGGGCGAGTGCGCGAAGGCGACGCNNNAGACAACTTCGCTCCAAAGCGAATGAGGTGAAGGACAATTAGAACTCGTAGTCAGCCTAGCGAGGGGCGGAGGCCTCCCGTCCCCCACTGTTCCTGCCCTTATTGTGCCCTATCCAGATCGTTTTCCGACCTCATTGCACAAATGGTATCAGAGGGGGCGTCGAATTCGAACCATGGGCAAATCTCCGAAACCATTTTTTCGTGAACAGTGCCTCTAATCAATAGTCTTATGTTTAACTGTAATTTTTGTTTCTAGTTCGGTTTCTATTGAGTTCTTCAACAAAATTACTTATTCTTACAATTGAACCAAAACCCTCATGATTCTTCTCTGAAACAATAACAAGCAAAACATTTGAGGGGTTGAAAGAAATTGTCCCAAAGAATACGCTTCTGCGCAGCAGTACCTTTTCGAAGGTGGTAACCGCAGGGATGAAAAACGACTGCCCAAACGCTACGATTCTGCGATTATCGCTGGATTAAAATTGTTACCGACTGGGTTGTCGAGAACAGCAGTAATGAGAACTTACACCATTACCGCTGTCATGCAAGATTTTTTCAAGAAGCTCAGCCCGAAAGAAATGATAGAAACCTCCATTAGAATGCAGTTGGTTGCAGAGCAAGAAGTTGCTTAGGCGTTCTTCAGAAATTGTTTGATGATCCACTCTAACACAAATGATATGATGGTATGAGGTTGTGACATAAAGACAACTGCATGAATACTTCCTACAAACGAATGTAGCAAGATTCTAAAACCACATTTTTTTTGTACACACCAAGTAGGTACCGTAGCAACTAACCCGTCTGGGAAAACTGTGTTCACAGTGTGTCACTAGATCTACGAAGTGTAAGCAGAAAGGA